GACGCTTATCCCTTGTTAATGTTAATCTCTCAAGGCTGAGGCCAAGAAAGATAAACTCCTGTTACAAATTGACTGCAAAAACACAAGTCCAACTGAAGTTATTTTCTCCAGAACAAACTCATTGCACAATAACAACCAGAATCATACCCTCTAAACTACGGAATTACACATTCTGCGACCAGTTTCCTCAAGTATAGAACTAGAAAGAAAGTTCCAAGGAAGTAAAAACCTATAAACCGGTGTGTGATAGATTTCGAATTCAGTGATTGCATACACTGGCAAGTTGATTCTGTTTTACTGGACAGAGTTATGTTACTAAATTGATATATCTCTGCGTCGCAGCACGAGTTTCAAAGGAAAGTTTTAATATAAGGGTAGAAAATATGATGAGTATTACGTTATTGGAGTGCATTTTTGAAGGGGGCACGCTATATTACAGTGATCTAAAATCCAGTGATAAATGACAAGCGAAATGAATGCTATGTGACAGTTGCTCAATATGGAGAGTGGCCCATAATTTGACCTCTAAGTGTAATGAGCATACCCCCAGTTCCCGAGAGCAGATTACTCAGAGCATGACCAGCAGCCTAAGCATAGATGTTCTACGTGTTTATCATTCGATCATTCTCGTATCATTCTATCTCCCAGGCCATGTGGCCAAAGGTTCATGATGCACAGAAACCTAGCTTTGTTTTTGAGGGGGGCATTTTGTCCTGAGCCTTTCATGGCAACAAAATGTGAAGCTGTGCTTGTGAGTACAAATGTGGGGCTGTTCCCTTCTCCATAGCAAAAAATAGGTTAAATAAGACACTACAGACTTTGCAGACAGCTCCCCGCTGACCCCATGTCGTCTGTTTGCAGAACTGCAAAATCACAAACAAATTTATCTGGAAAATGTTTTTTAAGAACGCCCCAAAAAGGGGCCTTAAGTATCAAGGCTCTGAAATTACAAGGCAGTAATCCCTCAAGGTGAAGACTTAGTCTTTTACCCTCAACTCGAGCATTAAGGCAGCCTTAAGGCCAATTACGCTCAGCATCAAGGCACAACACTACTACCCTTAGATGCGAAGAGAAAGCCCCCATACCCTTTAAAATCAAACTGTTCTTGGCTTCAACATCAAAGTTGTGGATAATATTGGAGAAACGAGCACTCACGCTAATTTTGAAGGCCCCAACCACTAAAATAAGCTGCTTAAGATGCTTGAAATTTATCAAACAAATTAAGAAAATCCATCCAAAAGCAAGGACTGTTAGGCTAGACATAAAAGAATGGCATAAAAAAGTGCACAAAAATAAAAAATACTGACATTACTGACATTAACACGTTCCTGACATCATAACTGTCACGAGAACCAACGGCCATAATTAAATTGTCAGCGAAAAGAACAAATCCCCAAACCACTCAACAGGTGACGAGCAGCAGAATCATTTTTATTATAGTTGATCAGCGATCAGCGTTGTTTCGATTGTGTCATTCATTCTTTTAATTTCGTTTTAATTTCGGGAAGTACATTTCTTTCCATTTCCTAGCCGACGAAGAAGTATAATTCCTAGACATTTCTACATTTTCTTATCAACAAAGAAGGCAGTAAAGGCTGAAAGAACAACAAAAAGAAGTAGTTTGATGTTCATTCCCAAATTCCTTGTTCGTTTATATTTACATTTACATTATTCAATGCGTAGAATGGCGAATGAGGGTCATATTATAATTCCTGCCCTGTGGTCACAGATATTATTTTTATTGCGTATTTTTCTTATATCCTTTACGTTTACTGGCAAAGAATCGACTACAAATGATGGAAATTTTCGTTACTGCTCTTAATTCGCACAAAGAAAACGGGCAACATATAACCCGATATTCCAGTGGTTTTTCAACACATCAAAGAAGATTCTTTACCTTTTGCATATTGCGGAAAGAAATGCCATGTCAACAACTCACGGAAATAAGTCCAAAAGACTTGACACGTTCACGTTTAATACGAAATGTAATGATATAAGCAAAAGGAAATGAAGGACGAAACAAATTCGATTTTTCAATATAACGCCGATCGCCACACGAGACAAATTTACTGGAATTGCGGTAAATTTGAACTGTACGTTCTGCAGTGTAAATGGAATCCGTTGGTTGCTTTATTTGAAATCGAAATTCGGATCGAACTTGGAGGTGTTCGAGGACAAAATTAAAGTATTGTTCTGGGAAAATGATGGGAAAACCTATGTGTGCATCGGCATGATCGGAGTGCAGGCGGATCTATGAATATTATGTTGTGTTGCCTGAAGATACACCTACAAGTGCGCGTATATACATGTACATGTTTAGCGTGTTCGCCTGGGTAGATACAAAATACATGTACCGTGATTTTGTCCACATCGCCTCTGGCACGGTTCCCGGCAGACAAAACCGGCTAGTAATTTGCATACTTGAGATCAATTCTAGATCTGAAGAGGTATTCACGTGAAAAGCTTCGTGTATGTCATTCATACAAGGGATTTCCCTTAAAAATTCTCGTTGTCGAAACGAATAGATGATTTCGACCTCTGAACCTTTTTTCCAAGCAGCGGTCGTTCCAATGCTAATAAAAAAAGTGATGAATAGATGCGTATAGACTTTCGGTATGCATCAAGGGGTGGACGCAAAAAATCGCTGGGAAAGTTCTTAAATTGGGAATTCGGGGAAGTTAAAAAAAAGATTTGAAAAATGATCATGCCCAATGGGCAACGAAAACTTCATCATTGTAAGTTGACCCAAGTGTTGATTGGAGCTACATGGTATTTCCTGTTG